TTCAAAATATAGTATATTAATATCAATAAATTTTTTTTTTACATAGTTCAAGACTTATTTTCATTAAAAAATTTTCAATGCCTAAAATTCATGAACTTACAGAATTTGAATATGGTGAAATTATTGATCTTTGGAAAGGTGACCATAATGAATATGATTTTTCAAGTATTCTTGATTTTCCTAAAACTACTATTCATAATACTATTGAAAGATACAAAAAAGACAACCAAATTTCAAGTACTTCTAAATCAGGTAGATCTCTTTAATTATTCAAAAGAAATATTAGAGAACTTGTAAAGATTGTAAAAGAAAATTGACAATAATCTTTAAATAAAATAACTGAAAAATTTAATGATTTATCAATAATTACAGTAAGTTTTCATACTGTTCAACATGCATTATAAAATAAAGGTTTCTTTGAATGTACAGGAAAAAACCTTTAGTATTATAAGTAAATTATAAAAAAAAGATTAGAATGGTGTCAAACTAGAAAAAATTGGAATTTAGAATGGGATAAAATAATTTGAAGTAATGAATCAAGATTTTTATTATTTCAAAATGATTATATCATTGGGTTTGACATTATCTACATGAAGAATATGATGTAAATTATTAAATTCTAACTATTAAATCTGAAAATTAAGGTATAATAGTGTAGGGATGTTTTAATAAAAATAAAATTGATCCTTTAATTCAAGTTTCTGGTAAAATGACAGGTTCTTTATATATAGAAGTTTTGGAAAATTATCTATTGCCATTTATTAGTGAATTAGATAATAACTTAAAATATAATTTTCAAGATGATAATATACCTGTTCACTATGCAAAAATAGTTAAGTAATAGATATAAAATAATTCAGTAAAAAATATTCCTTGGCTAGCACAATCTTCAGATCTCAATCTAATTGAACATTTATATGATGTTTTGAAAAGGAAAGTTTGTAAACATGATCTACATCCAAAAAATCTTACTAAATTAATAGTTGTTTTAGAAGAAGAATAATATAAAATTGATTTGGTTTTAGAAAATTTGATAAATAACATGTCTAGAAGAGTTCATGTAGTGATAGATAGTCATGGAAATTCAACAAAATATTAATTAATCAAAATAAAATTTGTAATAAAATAATTAAATTTATTAAATAAAAAGTTTTATAATATAAATATTTAAAGCATGTAGTAGGTTGTGGGCCCGTCTCATATGAGTTAGTCCGAGTCTCATCTTTTTAAATAAACATTAAAATAAGTTGTGTATTTTGTATTATGTAATCCTATGTAATGTAAAAAACTTTCTCTTTTTCTAATTAATAGATTTGAGACAAGACCTTGTTGGAATTAAAAAAAAAAAATAATAATACAAATATTTAAAGTTATGTCTAAGTAATTGTCAAAATTTTCAATAAAAAAGATCAGATATGCTTATAATTAAAGTTGTAGAATATGTTCTTAGCTACATGATTCTATAAGATAGTTAGTATTCATGATAAAAATTCATTGAAATTGATATCATTAATTTGATTTGATATTTTTAATTCAAAATTTCTGCACAATTAAGTATCCAATTTTAACAAACAAGATATCATATGATAGCTCTAAATAAGGAGATTTTAAAAAAATTTTATATAATTTAATTAATTCATTGTGTTATAATTGGCATTTGAAATTATGAAACATATTAGCAATCATATCATTGTCGATCATTTTACAATTTAGAGAAAATTATAAATCGTTCGTTCATATAAAAGTTCATTTTTGATGAAGAAAATGTTAAATGTAATACTAAGTGAACTCAAAGAGAACATTATTGTACATCTACTGTAAATCTTTTAGACCTATATCGTTAGAATTGATTGAATAATTAATGTTTAAGCTTAAAAACGTTTTCTTTAATTATTCTATCAATTATAATGATACAGGCCTGAAACTCTTATAGTATATGCGCAATGATGTTTTCTTTGAGTTCACTTAGTATCATATTTAATATTTTTTTCGTCACAAATGAACTTTTATATGAGCGAACTATTTATAATTTTTTTTAAATGGTAAAATGATCAACGGTAAATTTTGATCGTTTTAGATGCGTCTAAGTAAAGTAAAAATTTGCACTAGAAAATATCAAATACTCTACTAATTAAAGTTGTAACATATATTATTAGCTACAATTTCATATAAGATACTTTATAGTTACGATTAATATCTATTGAGATCGATAGATATTAATTTTATAGTTTCAAAATTCGATTTTTTGTTGATGTTATTTGAAACAAAATTTCTTGACAACTATGCATCTAAAATTAGTGATTAAGATATCATATGAAAGCCCAAAATCAAAGCAATTAAATATTAAAAAGTTGCCTCATTTTTATATGTTAAATCACAAGTTATTAACGAATAAAAATTTACTTTATAATTGATAATTAAGTGGTCGAATACTTTTGCTAGGTGAGTGTACTCCAACAGGTAGTATCAATGTAAAATGGAACTATAAAAAAATTCATGAGTATTTGTTAAAGAAAATTTGTATTTCAATCTGTTTGTAAACCAGCCTAGCAAAAACAAATATTCAATTACTTTCATACCTTCTGAACAGTTTTAATTAGTAGCTCAAAGATAGAATTGTAAAAAAAATTCATGAGTATTTGTAATTAAAGAAAAATTCATCTTTCAATCCATTTGTAAGCCAGCTTAGCAAAAACAAATATTCAAGTACTTTCATATATACCTGCCACCCAAATCCCAAATTATTATGGCATTATGGCTGCCAAAATATGCCAAATTATTTGGGATCCAAGGGTCAAAAGTTTCAAATCCTAAATTATTTTTGGCATCCCAAATTATTTCAAATATTTGGGAACAAAAAAAATATTGCATAACCATCTTATAAAAAAAATAAAAATGTCATAAGAATTTGTATGAAGTTATAATTAAAGTTTGCATAATAATATCTATTTTTATTTAAATTATAAAAAATATTATCAATTTTAGGGAGGAATGTAATTATAAAAATGCCGTCTGTAAATCTTTTAATTTTTAATTTTAATATTTTTTTTTGAGCCAGATTCTATAGATCTAGATAAGAAAAAAAATGGTAATTATATAGTTTAAAAGGGTTTACAGTGTTGTAAGTGGGTAATACTTCATTTGTTTTATTAAATTAGATAATTTTCAGGTACTAACTATTACTTGTAATTGCTTTTCGGACTGGTGTCTCGGGTGACGCAGTACCGTCCTATAGATCTAGACAAGAAAGAAGAGGATTATATAGTTTAAAAGAGGTCTACAGAGTTGTAGGTGGGAAATACTTCGTTTATTTTATTAATTGGATGATTTTCTGATATTTTCAGGTACTAAATATTATTTTTAGAACTTTTTTTTTGCAGTGAAATAGGGTAAAACGGGTGGCGCAGTGCCGTTTATAGATCTAGACAAGAAAGAAAGGTAATTATATAGTTTAAAAGGGGTCTACGGAGTAGTAGGTAGGTAATACTTCGTTTTTTTATTAATTTAATTTATTTTTGGATGTCTTCAGGTACTAAATATTACTTTTTGATTACTTTTAGAACTATTTTTTTTTGCAGGTAAAACGGGTGGCGCAGTACCGTTTTATAGATCTAGACAAGAAATAAGGGTAAATATATAGTTTAAAAGGGGTCTACAGAGAAGTAGGTAGGTAATGCTTCGTTTATTTTATTAGTATAGATGATTTTCTGGTATTTTTAGGTATTAAATATTACTTTTTGGTTATTTTTAGAACTTTTTTTCTGCAGTTAGATCGGGTGGCGCAGTACCTCCTAGATCTAGACGAGAACGAAGGGAAATTGTATAGTTTAAAAGGGTCTACAGAATCGTAATTGGGTAATACTTCATTTATTTATTAGTTTATATGATTTCAGGTATTTTTAATAGGGTTTTATTACTTAAAGAGAGTTATAATTAATAAAATGGCTGTTTTTAAATTATTTTTATCAAATATGGTTAAAGATTATTATAGTTATTTAAAATAAATGATGTTATTAATCTTATTTGGAAAAAACAATTAATAATTCCAATAAAATAAAGAACAATTAAAATTTTCAATAAAGTCATATTTTAGATTACAGATGTTGAAAATAATTTGAGATATTAAAAATAATATGGAATGTCAAAAATAATATGGGATGCCAAAAATAATATGGGATGCCAAAAATAATTTGGATTTGGGATTTGGGATTAGGATTTGGAATTTGGGATTTGAAAAAAATAATTTGGGTGGCAGGTATACTTTTATACCTTCTGAACAGTTTTAATTAATCATTCAAAGAATTTTTTTTTCTCACAAATGTTAAAATAAGAAACTTGCCATTATATTTTTTTCAATCATGCAATATGTATAAATTTTATTAAAAGTCAAATGATGTAACCGTTAACACTTTTTGAGTAAAGATGCGAACTCTTTATCTTTCCCACTAAGCCGAGAGGGAATTAGATTTTCCAATTTTCACGGGAAAATTTTGCTATGTCAAGGCTTCTCTATTCAGTCATAGGAGATCATCTGTTATCTTTAACATTACATCAATTTCTATCCTTCGTAAATCCTTTGATCTGGAAAAATTTTACTATGCCAAAGCTTCGTAAGAGATCACCTTTTCTACTTGAAAGAGGTATTTTACAAAAATCACGTTACAAAATTTAAATAAACCTCATAACCGAGATTTTCTATTTTTCTATTTTTCTATTTTGGATAAATTCGAATATTTAATGTGCATAAATGAAGAAAACACTACAATAATAATTATTTTTAATCACATTACCATAGGATTTGCACTCAATGAAGAAGGGAACATATTCGCATCAGCTACATAAAGATTATCAACTTCCTAAGTTTTGCCCTTGGATTTATAACTGAAGTTGAAGAATCGATTCCCATTCGACTGTTTAATTAATTAAATAAATAATAAAATCATAAAAAAATTAAATAATAAATTATATTAAATAGTGAAAATTATATAAATGATAAATTATCAAGTTCCCATTTGATGTCCACTTCCGATATAACAATTCTTTGTTATGATTTTTCTGATATTTTTAAAAAATGATTTCAACTTTGGATCTTGTAAAGGATCAGGTACAAATTCATCGAATTCTGAAAGGTCTACTTCAATAGATTTTGCTCCCGCCGCAACTAAAATATTAACTGCAGCAATGACTCCTTCTTGAATCATAATCACTAATGGTATAATGTATTCTTGGTTTCCATCGTCATCAACATCAATACTTCCTGAATAACTATCACGCCCTACAATGATCAAAGGAACTTGATGATTAAGTTGAAGAATTCTTTGTTTATGATTTAATCCGGCCTCCAAGGGTAACTGTTGCGTCATATGAAGGATTAAAAAGCGCAAGTTCAATTTTTGATCCATAATGATGTCCTTTAGTTTGTTCACAAACATCGGAATAAATATCAGAATATGAAGTAATAATGGTTCCATAATAAGGCTTGATTTCTTTATCCGGAAAGGTGCCAGAAATACACATTTCTGGATGTAAAAATAAATTCTTTCCAACATTTTTGTTTTGAAGTCCACTTCTTTTTAGCAATGCCGGACTATGAAGTGATCCACAAGAAACAATTACTTTCTTTGAATACACTATTAATTTTCGTTCATCACTACCAACTATAGTTTCAACCCCTATTGCTTTTCAAAACTTTTTTAACATTACAATCTTGCACAAATTTTGCTCCAGAATCTCTCGCATCTTTTAACCATGTCATTAAACTTCCTTGTTTTTCTCCATAACGACAACCATACAAACACCATCCATCCTCGTGTTCCGACCCGCTGTATTTATTGGAGCATCTGCACAAGTCGTTTACAACCTTCAATCAGTACTTTATTTTTTTCATCATGAACAATCGCTTTTGTGGATACACCCATTCTTTCTGTGACAGCATCCATTGAATTATCAAATTCTTTAGAAGTAAAATGTTCTAATCCTTCTGAAGCCATTCTTCTCTTACGGTATTTGGTAGCTGAGATAATATAAATATAATATAAATATAACATAAATTTAGAATATATATATATATAAATTATTAATAATTAGCAACTTTCAAATCTGTTTACCTTAAATGATACCGCCCCATTAATTGCGGTACCACCGCCAAAGGTTGATCCAGCCAGAAGTCTTATATTACCAGCTACATTTGAAAGCATCCCTCCTTGTTCGTAGAACTTAGAAATGGGACCTAATTGAGCTAAAGTAAGTTCACTCTGATGATAATATTTTCTTTCTCGATCACTAAAACTTTATACCCAGCTTTAGACAATTGAGCTGCCGCCACACCTCCTCCCACTCCTGAACCAACTACCACTACATCAAATTGTAATTCCAATCCTTCAGGTGGAACTTGAATAAAATCATAAATTGGAAATTTACTTAAGTTATCAGTAAAGCGTCGGCTATTCATTCGGGGATCAGGTCCAGGATATCCAATTGTTGAATTAAAGAGAATTGAATTCTCGCTTGCCCAAAATGTGTATAGTATAATACGACTAAAAACTTTAAAAAGACCTCTAAAGATTGAATTACTTTTTGACCATTTTTGTCAAGACAATTTCTCGATCTTTTCTACTAAGCTCATAGAATGGTGACATGTGACAGTTAAGAGAAATGAAATTGGTCGTATGGTGAAAAGCGTTAAAATTTTAGAAAGTTGGGGTGAGCAATTTCTCTGGTAAAACCCTATTGCACTTGTTAATAAATATTTCAATAAATTCATCTTTGTTTGACAATTCAAATTTTTCAAATTCACGAATTTTTTCAGTATCAATAGGGATTTTAGTCTTCGTCTTTAGAAGGGATTCAATTTCGGCCTCACTCAATTCAGCTAATAATGTACCGCTGAAATCTTTCAGGACTTTAATTTGATAATCAATTAATCTCCATGGTTTTATTTTCTTTACCAATATATTTAATAATTTTAGAAAATAAATTGAAATTAAAAAATTAATGATAAAAAAATTATGTAAACCAACATATTCTCAATATTTTTGAATGTGAGAGTTATGTTCAGGAAATAGAGATCTTTTTTTTTTATTTATCGAAGAGGTATATCTATTTTATAATAAGGTATATCTATTTTATAATAATGAGGTGTTTTATATAACAAATACTATTTTATATGACAAGTACTAATGAGGTAAAGTTTATGACGAATCAACTTCTTAATTCATTGTCAAAAAAATATAACTCGATAAGTGATGATCCGCCTATGATCTGCTTTATAAATAAATATTTCATATTCCTACTGATCGACGAGCAAATTTCATGTGTAACATCTAAATAATGTACAACAAAAATTGTACCCCAAGTCTTTGAAATAATTCTTGTAATCTTACGTTGAAGAATACCCTTTGCATAGCTTTTTCTGTATATTAAATTATTGCTCTCTTTAGGAAACTGAATTAAAAATTAGTTTTTTTTAATTTATTTTGGTAATAACTCTCTTTTTAACTCAAATGGATATTTTTTAAAATTTTTGTTCTGCTCATTTAATGTTTATTATAATCGAGATAAAAAAAAATAACTTTGAATAATTTTCTTTTTAATTTAATAAAAGTTATTAATATTGTTATTTTGTTTTTGTAATTAAAATATCTTTTGTTTTTTATTAAAGTTTTATTAAAATAAAAGCTAATTTCTTTTATAAAAAAATAAATTTAATATTTACATAAAAATTAATTAAATAACTATTTTTGTAACCTTAAAAAAATCTTTTTCTTCTCATAAAAATACATATAGTTTTGCTATAAAAATCATATATTTACCTTTACTTTTATAAATATCTCAAAAAAAGTATTGTTTTAAAGCAAAATTTCGTCAGAACACATAATAATCTACTAATATACTTATTATTATTGATAAAGAATTTTCTCGTTTATGGTGGTACAATTTTTTTAATTATAAAAATGATTCAGGTATTTATTTATTTTTATTTAAATTTGTAATATAAAAATCTTGTTCATACGATGAGTTTTTAGTCCTACACCGTGTCTTTTATATTTTTAACTGTATACTTTGCTCGTTTTTACATTTAATAATTTCTATATGCATCCGTACACTAGTCAAAATAAGACAAATCAGATCGGCAATGATTGTAAATTCCGAATTGACTGTAATCCAAATTTAGATCTTTTGAATAAATCATTCATATTTTAAATTTATAAATTATACATTTCATCTGGCCGCCAAATATGCTGTCTTAATACAATATCATTTTCTAAATATTTTACTTTGCTGAATGATGATCGGCTAATTTAATTATATAAGTCCTGTCATATAATACTTTTAAATTTGATTTCACCAGGAGGGGATAATTCTGAGTTAATAGGCGAACAAGACAATAGTATTAATTTGGGGGAACAATAAATTCAATAAATTAATAAATAAAGATATCACCATCGCACGAAAGACATTCCTTCTAAAAAAACGCAATGATGTGGTGATTGTCAAAGGGCAACTTGATCATTCCGCAAAGTGCAACTCATAACTTTTAGGCTTAATGCAAGCGATTTACCAAAAAAAATTTCAACGCGAAAAAAAAAATAAAGATCATTTCCTTTTCCCAAAAGGAAAAATTTTCTTCAAAAAAGCTCGCTCCAAATTATTTATTATTATTTACATTAATAAATTTTAATATAAAATCAGTTTGTATTAATTTTATAATAATAATTTAAATTTCAAAATATAAATTTCTAATACAAATAAAAAAACAAATAATAATCTTCATGTAAAACAAAATACATTATTAATTTAACAATCATACATCAACGTTAATTTCTCGCTCGCTGTGATATAAACGAGAATTTAAATATACCTATAATAAAATAAATAAAAATTTATAAATTTATTTATATGAAATCTCATACAAGAATAAAAAAATGATGATTATTCCAAGAAACAGTTTATACAACTAACATTTTCTTTTATTAATTAAACTTTCAATACCACATTTTGAATTGTACAATGTAAATTAAAATTCAAGCCAATAAAGTTATATTAGTATACATTGATACGAATAAATATATACATATAAATACATATCTAATATGTTTCTTGATATTTTTAGTTATTATTATGAAAATAATTTCGAGGGGCTTTGAAAAAGAGTAATAATTAATATTGTAATTACTAAAATAATAATGTAAAAATTGTTCTAATTTAAATTTATCAGAAACGTTAATTTGCTTTATACTTGGTTAAGATCTGCTGCAGCATAATCTTGACCATTTTGTTGAATTTGTAAGGACGATCCTGATCCTTGCCGTTTATGATATTTAGTATCAGTACAATTGTCACAATAAGCAAGGAGAACTCCATCTTTATCACAATCTAAATTTAGATCGCTGAGTCTTCCTGATGAAAAAGGCCATGTTCCATCTTTTCGATATTTGGGACTTATTGCTTCTGTCAAATTATAGAGAACTTTGCCGCATTTATCGACAATAAGGTAATCATAACAATTCTTTTCAGGATCAACAAGCCCGTCACTGAAGAGACCAGTTGCAATGGTTTTTCCACATTCGTCTTGGGCGAAGACGACTTCTCCCCAAACTATGGGGCCACAGAATGAAGATGTTGCAACAGTACAAGGACAAGTATCTTTTTCATCTCGTTTAAAGAGTTCGGATGGACTTTTATAAATTTTAGGATGAGCAACTGCCGAAACCGATAAGGTATAGATGGAGAGGATTAAGATGCTTAAAGCAAAAGAGATAAATTTCGAATTCATTATATAAATTTCAAAGTCGTAAAAAAGTCGAAAAACGAATTATTATTATTTTTTTTTTTGTATTAAGAAAAGTAGTTTTTCGCTGTGGGGATTGAGAGAGATAAAAAAGAACTCTTTTTATATTTTTAATGAATCCTTGTGTTCTTTTGGAAATTCAAATTTATTCTATGTAGTGGTTGGTGATTACTATATTTATGTAAATATTGTTCAAAAAAAAACAATCAAACTATTTTTAACATATACACAAGAAGTAATTTTCCCGGACAAAATTTAGGTTTCAACCGATTTCAATTCAATTTATTTGAATGAAATTTCCTCAATTAACTTATGCATAGGTTCTCAAATCACACGAAACATTACTATAATTTTACTATAAAGCGATAATTCAATAACATCTATCGTTCTGATAATGCCGGATTTTTCTATTACAGATCAAATAAACGCCGCGGAGTCACATAAATATCGACCGAAAATAAAAATAAATAAAAATTCAGCTTTTATAATTACATTGAATATATAATTAGAATTTTATTCAAAAAAGAAAAGTATAGATATTAATAATGATGAGTAAAAAATTTTTGTCCTTTTGATTTTTCCTTTTGTAAAATGTATACATCTTAGATTGGATTATTGGCTGAGATTACACATCAAATGAGAACATATATGTTCTAATATGTTCTAATTTTATTCAAACCATATTGTGTTCAATGGTTCATAGTTACTATCCTATCTGTGCACAAAAAGTCTATAAATAACATTTGTTTTTTATTTGTTGTATCGAAATTCTCAGGTCACACTATGCGAATAACCATAACCATAAGAATAAGGTTTTTGCGCTAAAAATAGAATTTCCGTTTGACATGCATGTTGAGATTGTTTCATTGATGAATCTCATCAAAATATGAATTAATGTAGAAGATTCCTAGAAATCATTGTGTCAAGTGAGTTCATGCACCAACATCAGCCAATAAAATTGGCAGATTTTTACATACGGATCAATTTTGGATTCAAAAAGGAATTTTAACCAGGGCACTTATTGTAACTTCTTTTTTTTTGAATTTCAATGGCGTTATAGAAACGGAAGAAATAATAAATAAATTAAATTTATTTTATTCTATTTAATAACAATAACCGATCAATTATAATAATTTAAATCTATAAAGTATCGATTTAAAAATCTAAATTAAATTTATGTATAACATTTACTGCATGCATTACATCTTTACAATGAATCTAGTGGCTGGCCTTCATTATAAAAAAATTCGTTAATGGTTAACGAAAATCCATAAAAAATTCGATAGTATTTATGTATTATATTTGATATTTTATACTTTGTTTTCAAGCTTCCCAATGGGTTATTATCGCATGAAAATAATCAGCTTGAAAAAATCCGAAAAAAAATTCGTTCTAACAAAAAATTTGTTAAATGCATATTTTTTATTATGAAAACTCGGGCCAAATAAATATTCGTTAACTGTATTATAACCCCTCTTATATATTCGTATCAAGAATTGAATAAATGATTCAAAAATTATACATTTATTTTTCAAAAAAAATAATAAATGATTAGATTTAATTATTAATAAATAAATAATTAAATTGAGCTTTAGTGCTAACATTCTATATAAACGAAAACATACCATTATTTTTGCAGAAACATTTCTCTTGTTACTACATAAAAATAGTATCGAATCGTTTAATAGTTTATTAATTTACATTGTTTAATTCATCAATGTCATATTACCTAATTCATACAATTCAAATCTGTACCATATTTTTCATTTAATAAAAAGCACCTTTTTTTTTGAATTTCAATATATTTAAATTTATTACAATCTTCATCTTATTAAAGAAAAAAAATTATAAAGTATTTAAGATATTAGTTACTTCACTACATGTCTTTCAATAGTATCATCATCTTCATTTAAAAATCAAATTAGTAAAGAGAGAGCCAAAAATAGTAAACAACTGAAATTATGATTTAAGATATTAGTTACTTCACTACATGTCTTTCAATAGTATTGTCATCTTCATTTAAAAATCAAATTAGTAAAGAGAGAGCCAAAAATAGTAAACAACTGAAATTATGATGATACGTTGATACAAAAAAGTATAAATTTCTAAATGCATATGCACGTTATGCATCCACAAAAATTTTATGCATTTAGGCGGTTATGCTTTAACACCTGAAATTTTTTAAATTTAAAATATTGATTGATACAATAAGTGCATAAACTTATTATTATTAAATTTAATGGTGTGATTTATATATTCTTCTTTTTCAATTCCGACTCCTGCAGACAAGAACAATCATATTTGAATTTTTCAGGAGATCTTGAAAAATCAATCGAATAAATATTTTTATTAAATAGAGTATCTCCGTATGATTCCAACATTAGTATTACATGTTTACAAGAGTTAAGAGTCGATGATAACCTTTAACAAAGAATAGAAAATACGATATTACTAATAAAAATTCTTGTAGCAATAACAATATTATTTTTTATATTAATAAAATTAAAATTTATAATTCTTTATGAAAACTTTATGTAGTGTGGTGTTGATCACCATACAGTATGGTCCACGCATCAAAATCTTAATTGTGATACAAGAAATTTGCTAAAGCTCACCGGTGATGATTGTATCACTGGGCAAAGTTAAATTTACGTGAGCAAAGTTATATAGGGTTGATCAGGGAATTATGTAATTTTGTCCGGCGGTGACAACCTTAGAACTATCATGTGTCAAAATTGTCTCATACCAGATTCGATGGATTTTAAAGATAAATATCAACTATCCTATAATTAAATTCTAGCCAGAAATGATTTATACAACTTTAATTAGAAACTCTTTTCATAGTATCTAGTAAATATTTGGACTTTACTTAGATGTGAATAAAAATAGCCTTAATTAAATAAAATAAAAATTGAAATAAAAAAAAATCTGAAAATAATAATTGATCTATACATATAAAATTTTATTATTTATTAATTAATATAACAATAAAGTAAATATATAGAGCATCATTTGTAAAAATTTAGTTCTATTTATTGTTCAACTGTTAATATTAAATTCAAATTCACAATTTAAAATCTGAAACTTTTTACAGTAGATTATATTAATAAATTAAGAAGTTTTAAATGTACGTACATAGTTAATTTCTGATTTTTTAAAAATGATCGACCCGGATTTTTTACTATACTAAATATACTAAAAATTCGAAAATAATCATCGTAGTCAAATAAAATATTATATTATATTAAGTAAATTAAAGATAAAAATTAAAAATTGAAAATGACGATCATTTGAATTTTAAAGAAATTTTTCAAATTCTTTGAAAAAAATCAAAAAATAATTACTAATCGTCGCTATATATAAAACTTCTTTATCTATTAATATAACATAGATAGTAGTAAGTAAACTTAAAGTTTAAAATATACAGCATCCATTGTAAAGTTTCAGATTTTTAAATTGAGAATTGAACTTAATATTAACGGTTGAAAATCAGATGTTTTAAAATTATTCTCCAAAATTTAATCATCTATTATTCACTCAAGTTTCAATAAATAGAACTGAAATTTTTACAAATGATGCTCTATATATTAGTCTTTAAAGTTACTTAGTGCCACTTTAATTGTTATACTAATAAATAATAAAGTTTTGTATGTATAAACGATCGGTAATTATTTACAGATTTTTTTTTATTTTAATCTTTATTTTTATTAAATTGAGGCCATACACATGTGAAAATCATATTTGTCGCGAAAACTTGAACATGAAACACCTGGTTACCATGTACATATTATTAAATTATGGGTTTTATTTTGATAATACACACTAATTGAAAAATCTTTTTCACATAATGGTGAAGATAAATTTTGAAAATTTAAAACGCCAGCAGGGTTATTTAGTTTGATAATTAGATGGATTCTATAGGTTTAAAGCTATAAATTTAAAATAAGAAATATTTTATATTTTTTAATTAATTTTTTTTTAATATATGATCTAATGTAAATTTGGAGATTTTTAGTTGATACTTTTTTGTGCAAAAAACAGCAATATAGTTTTTTATTAATTTTGTAAATTAAAAATGTTTAGAGACTATTTGCATAATTTTAAGTTTATATTAATACTTGAATTAAAAAGATTCGATCTTAAAATTCTTTTAATAAAAATTTCAATTGATGACTAAAAATTGATAACCTTATTTTAGGATTTCATATATAATTATGGCTTACTTCCAATAAAATAACTTTTATTTTAGATGCTTATAATTAATATTATATAATAATTAGTAAACAAATAATTTAAGCTAATAATGGTGGTGGTTTGTATTAAAGAATATAAAAATCCTGAGCTAGAAACCAATTTTATTAGATAAAATTATTAGCTTCTTCTAAAATTGTATTACTTATAATCTCATCTCATTATTATAATAAAAAATAATAAAAGCTTTGGTACTGGAACCATAAAGATGAAGAGAAATCATTTCAATGGTACATGAAATCAGCTGAAAGGAGAAATAGTAATGAACAGAATAAACTTTTGTGGTTGTTATGGTAATGGAACTGGAACTACAAAAGTTGAAGAGAAAGCATTTCAGTGGTACATGAAATTGGCTGAAGAAGGAAATACTGATACAGAATAAACTTGGTTATTGTTATTTTCTTGTCATTGGAACTACAAAAGATGATGAGAAAGCATTCCAATGGTATGTAAAGTCAGCTGAAAAGGGAAATAGTGGTGGACAATATAGTCTTGTGAATTGTTATTTCTGTGTAATCAGAACTACTAAAGATGAAAAGAAAGCATTATATTGGTACATGAAATCATATATAGGTTCATTCGAATTTGAATAATCTTCACTATCCAATATATACTGGAAAATTGGATGATTTATAATATTTCAGAAATTAAAAGAATAATTAATCGGGTCAAGTTAAAGATCTCTTCTATTGATTTAAAATTAAATGAATAATGAAAATGAGAAAATAAAGGTATAATATTGACGGAAATTAATAATTTTAAATGAATTAAAGAATAATTTTGAAATACGCAATATTCGAAAATAAAATAAATATAAAACTAACTTCGCTATCTTTTATAAATGAAAATAAAGTAATAAGATTGCAAATTCTTAATTTTTACTTTTTCGATCAAACGTAATGCGAATATCATTATTTTGTTCCAAACTATTTTAAAATGTAAATGAAATTAATTTCTACAATACTTTGTGTACAAATTATTTTTACAATAGTTTGTTCAATACAATTGATATTTGTTGTAAAAACTAATTTCATTAGAATAATTTTCAAAATATTAAAAAAAATAAAGATTTTACATAATTATTTTCGAGATTCTACCACGAAAGATATCAGATAAGTAACATTATTGTTTGTTATTTTTTTAATAAGATCTTATCGTGGAATCTATTATTAATCCAGGTATTAAAAAAATCAGGATGATATTAAAAAAAAAAATAAAGATTTTAATATCAATTCATTTAATATATTTGTGAACCCATTCCATAATATAATAAATACAAAAAATCCGCCTTATTTATCTAAAATTCAACCCTAAGATATAAGAAATTATGTACTAAAAAGAATAATAAATTAATTAATTAATAACTCAATTTCAAGGAAAAATTAAAAAAAATATGTAAAAATAATTTAAATGATTTCAGTAATTCCAGATCAAATATCCATGTTATCTAATATCATTTATTTTATTCCCAATAGATTGAAGTACCTCGACTGTATTGCTCTCAAAGAATATTCAAATTATTTATAACATAATCACGTAAATGGAAAATACCATTATTATTATATGTGTTCAAATCTTTTAAAAATTAAAAACTAAAAGGACTATTATTAATTAAT